CAGCATCCACAGCAGCGCCGGGCGGCTCCGCTCGCGCTCGCTGTGCTCCGTGCGCTACGGGCGCACCCACCGCGGCGCCGAGACCCTGTGCTACGGCTGGCCGCAGCGCTCGCGCAGCCTCAAGCCGGTGCTCTACACAGACCTGGTGGTCAGCCGCCTGCAGAGCCGCAAGAAGAAAAAAGCGGTGAGGGCGTTGGGGCCGCGGCCCACGCCAGTCCGAGAGAACTGCGGGGGTGGCCTGAGGGAGGCGCCGGGGGTGTCATCAGCAGAGGGGGTACCGAGGGAGCCAGGGGCCGAGACGGGAGCCCAGAAGGGTCAGGGTTCATGGTCAGCCAGCAGTGGCATGGATTGGGAGGGGGTACCAACTGAGGGTCTGGTACCCTTGGGCCAAGGTGGGCCTCAAACACCAAAGGGTCTTTGGTGAGGATGAGGGTCTTCTAAATGGCGGCATGACATGAGACTCACTGATGGGGTTCAGGATGCACCAAGGTGTGGCTGTGGGCCAAAGGCCCCCCCCCCCAGGGGGCAGAGGGATGGATTGGAAGCCATCCAGGGGACAAAGGTTGCAGGTTGGGTCTTGGTGGCCACTTGAGCCTCTTCATCAGAGAGTGGGGGAGTGAGGGCTCAGGGACGGAGCCATGCTGGGTGTGTGCTGTGACAGCTATGGCTATGCATGCATGAGCCTGGGTTACAGTACAGGTTGCACCTGCCTCCCACAGGGTGTGCACTTATGGGATGACTAGCTGGCCTTGTGGCTGGGCATGGGTATGGGCAATGAGAGAGTCAGAGACTGGTGTGCTGGAGGGTGCAGGGGGCTGTGTCCCATTACAGGGAAGGCGCCGACGTCACTGCTGCACCCAGCTCACGCAGGCAGCATCACACGCCACACACTCAGCCCGACACGCACATGCTGGGGACACACCCACTCACAGACAAGCTGGCAGAAGCACCCCCACAGTTGGAGACACTGGTGTGGACCCACATTCCAGGCCACTCCCAAGAAGAGGTGTCCCCTACACTATTCCTGAAGCCCAGCTCTGCGTGGACCCCGTCCAAGGCCCCCACATGTCCCCAGGCTGGCCATACAGAGGGGAAGTGACGGGTTCAGGAGCACACAGAGAGCTTGGGGTGGGAGCCTTTTACACTAGTGACTACTCCCCAGTCACACGAAGGGTGTAGGTGGCAGGGGCTGGGCTACCTTTGTATCAACACTCAGTTTGGGGAGGCCGTCTGCGTTGGGGCAGGGATCCAGCTTGTCCGGGGATCGGGAGCCAGGACAGTGAATTCCGTTAACCAAGGAAGGAGCTGACAGGGTGAGTCTCTTTCCTGGGCCTCAGTTTACCCATGTGCTATATGTGGGTCGATTCTGTGGAAACGACCAAGCACATGGTTGAGGGGAGGAGAGCTTATTGGGCTGTCCTCTCTCATTCCTCCAGGCCTTTTTTCTCCAGCCTGCAGCCGAGCAGGCTGGACTAACAACAATACAGATAATAACAGCAGCTCCCATTTACTGTCCATCAGCCATGTGCCAGATGCCTGTGCTAAGTGACTGACCTCTGCTGAACACTTACTAAGTTTGTTCCTCCTGGAGGAGAGATACTAGCACAAAGTCTTGTACCTGAAGTGGTGGAGCTGAGCCTGGGCCTAGTGCTATCTGTTCCAAAGCCTGTATTCTTGGTCTTTACATCCCGCTGCCTCTGTAGTTCCGTCCCCTCCCCTAGTTGGCAGGAGCACTCTGAGCTCTGGCACTGAGGCCTATGGTGCCCGTCCACCTCCCTGGGACTGACCCAGCCTCCCTGATTTGTTCCTCTCCCCCCAGGCCTTGTACAGCTCCATCAAGAATGAGAAGCTGCAATGGGCCATGTGAGTCCTGGGGCTGTGTGGTGGAGCAGGGATGGGGCCCGGAAGGGGCTGGGGAGGCAAGAGAGCTGCAATAGGCCGTGTGAGGCCTGGGACCATGGCGGGTGGAGGAGAGGTTGCCTCACTTCCTTCTTTGGAGATGCTTGCCTGGACTTGGGGTTCTGCCTCTTGTCTCTAGCTAGGTTGTTATGACAAGCTGGGTTGGGGTGGGCGGTCGCTGTCAGCTAGCCTCGGAGGAAGGATGCTGAAACAAAAAGGGGAGGTCCCTTGGCAACCCTAGTGGAAGAGCAGAAGTTCCTGGAGTTAGGGCCTTGACCAACAGAGGGAAAGTCCCTCTCAGGTTCTCGGGAGCCCAGAGAGACACAAAATAAATCTCGGGAGAGTCCAGTCTGAGAGAGGAGAAGGAACCCAGCCTGAGGTGGGAGCCCTCATCTAAATGGCTGATGGTCTCTCATATTTGGTAGCATCTGCTGAGAATCCAGCCACAGCTCAGTTTGCTGGGAACTCCCGGTTGGCAGGAGAAGATCTCAGAGGAGGCAGAGCTCAGGTGTGGGGTGCAGGGATAGGCTGAGGGAAGCTTCTTGGATGATTGATTTGAGGCAAGTCTTGAAAGAAGGGAGAGAAAGAGGGAAGTTGGTACTTGGGAGGCAAAGGTGTGGTGACTGAAATGAGTTGGTGTGGGGAGACCATGAGGAGGGAGGCCTAGCTGGAATAGAGGATGGATGGAAAAAGAGCTAACATTGTTGGACATGGGGGCCAGACTATAAGACAAAGTGTAGGTTCTACATGGCAGGCGACAGGGAGCAGGGGAGTGACAAGATAGATTGTTTTAGATGATGTTTGGAAGAGCAAACCTCTTCCTTCTGCCATCATTTCGCCAACAAGCTATGAACACAGCCTGATGCTGGGTGTGGTTGAGAGAGCCGAGTCAGACACATAGACGTGTATCTGTCCTGCTGGGGAAGGGTGTGCAGGCTAGTGAGGGGTGCAGAATGGAGAGAGGGGGCCGGTTACAGGTGAGGGAGAGAAGGGTGAGACAGGACCCTACCCTCAGGAGCTCTAATCTTGACCTAGGAGCCCTGACCTGAGGGGGGAACAGCTATACCTTGAGGACCCAATTGAGGTGGGAGACAAGGCCCCAGGAGCCTCAGGCTGAAGGGAGCTACACCCTCTGAGAGAGCAGTCCCCTCCCCTCCATCTGCACAAACACTGGAGCAGCTTCCCTGGGTGGGCAGAAGCCGGGATGAAGGGGGGGGGGGCTCTCCGGCCTTCCGCCCTGAGGCCATCACACCTGCAGAGATGAGGAGGAGCTGAGGCGCTCTCTGTCCGAGTTGGCTGACCCCAACCCCAAGGTCATCAAGAGGGTCAGCGGGGGCAGTGGCAGCGGCTCCAGCCCTTTCCTGGACCTGACTCCGGAGCCTGGGGCTGCCGTCTACAAGCACGGGGCCCTGGTGCGGAAGGTGCACGCAGACCCTGACTGCAGGAAGAGTACGTGGCCAGGGCGCTGGGTCTGGGGGTGGGTGGGAGTGGACCTGTCCTAGACTCCCTGACCTGTCTCCCTTCCCCCCAGCACCTCGGGGCAAGAGGGGTTGGAAGACCTTCCATGGGATCCTCAAGGGCATGATCCTCTACTTGCAGAAGGTGCGGGGCCAGGCTGAGGGGCTGGGGCCAAGCCGGCTCAGGGGCGTGCGGGTGGGTTGGGCCGGGCCGGGACAGGACAAGATGGGCACCCCCGCAGGAAGAATACCAGCCTGGGAAGGCCCTGTCAGAGGCGGAACTCAAGAATGCCATTAGCATCCACCACGCACTGGCCACCCGCGCCAGCGACTACAGCAAGAGGCCCCATGTCTTCTACCTGCGTACAGCTGACTGGCGGGTCTTCCTCTTCCAGGCTCCGTGAGTGCCAGCCTCCTCCCCACCCTCAGCCCCTCCCTCCACGCCGCAGCTTTCTCCCAGGACTGCCTTGTTCCCTCAGGCTGCACCTTAAGCCAGGACTGGGTTCCCTGGGCAGGACCCCTGGGCCCCGGTCCCAAGTGGCTACGCTGTCCCGCCAGGAGCCTGGAGCAGATGCAGTCCTGGATCACGCGCATCAATGTGGTGGCGGCCATGTTCTCCGCACCCCCCTTCCCAGCTGCTGTCAGCTCCCAGAAGAAGTTCAGCCGCCCTCTGCTGCCCAGCGCTGCCACCCGCCTCTCCCAGGTACCCCCAACTCAGTCTACCTGGTGCAGCCGGTATGGAGTGGGGCAGGCCCAGGCCGACTGCACTCAAGGCCGTGCACAGGATCGTGTAGATGTCCACTGCATGGGACACTGGCCATGGGGGGCGGTGAGTGGAGCTGAAATTCAGCCCCTGCTCCCCTTTCCAAGCTGTGACTCCCCAGACCCTGCTTTGTCCTTCCAAAGGAAGGGGTACTTATTCACACAAAGGCATTGTCTGGGCTAGAGTATCCCTGACTGTGCCCTTCCTGGCCACTAGGAGGAGCAAGTGCGGACCCACGAGGCCAAGCTGAAGGCCATGGCAAGCGAGTTGCAGGAGCATCGGGCTGCCCACCTGGGCAAGAAAGCCCGGGGCAAGGAGGCTGAAGAGCAGCAGCAGAAGGAGGCCTACCTGGAGTTTGAGGTGCGCCTCCCTGCCCAGGCACTTCTGTGGTTCCTTTCTCCCTTAGCCGGGCCTCTCTGCACCCCCAGACAGGCTCAAACTAGTGGTTAAGGCTGTGGAATCTAGGAGTGGGACCAGCTGGTTGCCGGTGGGCAGGCTGCTTAATCTTTCTGAACCTTGTTTCCTTTTCTGTGGAGCAAGGATAACATTTCATACCCATGAGGGTAATGAAGTGAGATGAAGTGTTGAGAGTTCAGGTTTCCCAACCCTGGTAAAGGCTCTAGAAACATTGGCTGTTAAAATCGGTAGTCAGGAGGGGCCTGGAGAGGGCCACTAACCCCTAAGGGATCATCTCATGACCACTGGGGGTTTCGACCCTTCCATCTCCTAGCCTTCTCCTGTGTGCCTCAGTGGTCTAGGTGGGTGTGGGACGGAAGAGGGTGGAGAACAGCCTCTCACAGCTGCCCCTCTGCCTCAGAAATCCCGCTACGGCACATACGCGGCACTGCTTCGGGTCAAGCTGAAGGCAGGCAGCGAGGAGCTAGATGTCGTAGAGGCAGCACTGGCCCAGGCCGGGGGCTCAGAGGACGGAATGGCCCCCTCTCACTTCAGCCCCTCCCTGCAGCCCAACACCTCCAGCCAGCCCCGGGCCCAGCGCCACGGCTCAGAGCCTCAGGCAGGGGCAGGCAGTGGGCGTCGGAAGCCCTGAGTTGGGGGTTGGAGCCCGCTGGGCACCTGCATGACGTGGCCCTGCCTGAGCCCGGGCAGGCCTCGGGCCACCCACGAGGGTCTCCGGCCCAGGGCCCTACCGCGCCGGACGCGGTGTCCGGGGGCAGGGCAGGGCTGGGCGTGGGCCTCAGGAGCCTGGGCAAAGGGCCCCTCGGAGCCCCCCATTTTTGTGATAATGTTTTGCACTTTTTCGTACAGGGTGGGCGGGGGCGGGAGGGGCCAGGGCCCAGGGCCCCTGGACTTTTGAAGCTTTTCTTTTGTGGGGGAGGCCTGACGACTTTTCTGCTTTCTGCCGAGACCACCCCCACCCTGACACCAGCAATCCCCTCCGTCCTGGGGCCTGGCTCAGACAGAGGCCAGGAGTTGGGGCTGAGCTGGTTTTTCTTCTCTCCTCCCCAAGAGCTCACACTCTCTTCCCAGAGGTGGAGGAAGGGCATCCCGGCCCAGGTCTCCGGCCTGTGAGGGCCCCGCGGGCCCACGGCCTGGCTCACGCTCCTGCCGTGGGTCCTGCCCTTTGTACAGCCTCCACCCCATTAAATCTGCTCTGGACTTGCTGGCGGGGCCTCCTCCTTTTTCTCTCTCCAGAGCCTGCCTTGGGGCCGGGGTAAGCAGCTGGTTTTAGGGACAAGAGTCACATTGGGAAGTGCCATAAACTGGGGAGGGTACCAGGTCCCCCCTTCCTATGAAAATCCTTTATTTGCCTCAACTGAGGGGTGGGCACAGGGTGTTAAATAAGAGTTGGAACAGGTGGGGTTGCTGTACAGAGGGCACTCAGGGAGGGGCTGGTGGGTGAGCAGCAGGTCAGTGCACCTGGGGCTGGGGGTGCCCATGGCAAAGCCCGCCCGGTGGCTCAGGGGGTGGGCCCAGCTTCTCTGCCTCCTGTTCCACTGACTGGCTCCCGTAAGCACTGTCCTCCTTCACCTCTGCTGGGAGAGGGGTGGGGGAAGAACGGGAGATAATTAGGGCCTTACACCTTCCACTCCCCACGCCCACCCCCGAGGCAGGACCCCTTTACCTGTGCTGGGCAGCTTGTCTCGGGGCTCGGGACCTCTCAGCAGCCTCACCCCTTCCTCTAGGCCCATGTCAGACAGGGCGTCCAGCAGACCCGCCAAGTCCCCACCAGCCAGCTGAGGAGAGGGGAGGGAAATGAGGTCTGAATCAGTTAGGGTGTGGGGTCAGGAACCCTGAGGCCAAGGAAGCATCCGGGATTGGGAAAAGGAAGCTGGGGGCTGGACAGGGGCTGGGGCCAACCTCGTAACTCCGCAGGAGGCTGCCGCTGGGCGAGGCCGTCTTCCGGTATGTGTCCACCAGACTGCGCAAGCCCAGCCGCTCTGCCAGCTCTGCCCAGCTGCCCTGGGCTCCTGGCCCATCTAGGAGCTGCTCCAGGTTCTGCAGGGCTGCATCCCCGAGTGATAGCCCGGGGCCTGAAGGGAATACACACAAAAGCATTCAGTTACCTCAGAAATGGCAGAGGCCCAAACACCTGGACACTCCCCTTCTCCCATAAGGAGCCGACAGGTGAGGCAGATGAGGCTACTGGGGGTGATGGAGAAGGGAAGCAGAGGGAAGAGAGAGACCTCTGTGAAGAGGAGGAGCCTGGGGTCTGGCACTGGATGAAGAGCTCTCACCTGCCGGGCTAGGTGGGGTCAGGGGAGGCCCTGTGACGTCCTGAGCAGCGTTCAGCAGCAGAGTCTTCACCTGGGGAGACAGCCTCAACCTTAATCACCTCCTGCCCAGTCCAAAAGTCCAGCTAAAAATCAAACCCACTGCCATGATTCCAACTCATAGCAACCCTATAGGATAGAGTAGAACTGCCCCGTAGGGTTTCCAAGGCTGTAAATCTTTATGGAAGCAGACTGCCTTATCTTTCTCCCTCAGAGCAGCTGGTGGGTTCAAACCACTGATCTTTTGGTTAGCAGCTGAATGCAATGCCCTAACCACTGTGTCACCAGAGCTCCTTGTCCAGAAGCCCAGGTGCCCTTAAGTCCAGATACTCTGGACCCCATCCCCACACCTGCTACACCATTCCTTGGTACTTCCAGGACCAGGCTGGCCTTACCTTGGTGCTGCGAGTGAGGTCAAGAGGCGTGTGGCCCCGGAAGCTACTTTGAGTGTCCCTCTCCGGCCCCTCGGAATCTGAGTCACTACCAGAAGTGGGGGGCGAAGGCAGTGGGCACAGAGGCTCCTCGTTCTCAGCGTGGATGTCAGCACCTGAGGGACGGAGGTAGTCATGGGGAGACACCCTGAAGCCCACATTAGGGACTGCAAAGCAGGGGGCCTGGGAGGCACTCATTTTCCTGTTGCCTTGCTCTGCTCATATATCCCCAAGAAGGTGAGACTGACCAGCCTTTAGAAGGAGGCGAGTAAGGGTCGGTGATCCCAGGCCAGCTGCCAGGTGCAAGGGTGTGTTTCCCGCAAAGGTGCGGGCGTTCACATTGGCGCCAAGCTGTGGAGTACAAAGGAGTGGTGATCCCAGGGTGGTCCCCCTGGCCACCATCCCCCAACCTCTTTACACAGGTCCCTCTACAACCCTGGGCCTCACCTCTCCCATAATTTTCATGCCTCACCCTCACACAGCACTGCTCTGTCATACCTTGGTGACCAGATGGGTGACCAACCCCAGCTCCTCCATCTCTGTGGCCAGATGCAGGGCAGTTCGGCCCCCCTGCCGCTCTGCGGCCTCCACCTCGGCACCATCAGCCACCAGCAGATCCAGGCACTCGGGGCTGCGGGCACGGACTGCCAGGTGTACCGGGTACAGTCCTAGGCACACACAATGTTCAGCCAGCAGCTGTTACCCAAAGTTGGCCCCCAGACCAGTCCTGACCAGCCAACCTTGACACTTTTCTGTCCATTCTGAGAGCCCTTCAGCTACCTTCCCTGGTCCCTGCCCCTGTTCTCCTGACTCAGATGAAGTGGGGAATTCACCTTCGAAGTCTGGCGTGTGCAGCAGCTGGAGCACAGCAGGGCCCCCACTCCGCAGCAGTGCACGCAGCAGGTCGGGGGCACCAGCCCTCAGTGCCAGATGCACGGCTGAGTCTCCATGCCGATCCAGCAGCGCGGGGTCTGCACCCACCTGCAGCAGGAAGCTCACCACACTTGTCTGCCCGGTAATTACCGCCAGGTGCAAGGGGGTCTGGGGGTGGAAGCAGGGGTGAGCCAGGGCTGCCTCTGGCCGCCTGCCCTCCAACCCCTATTCCCTCACCAGTAGGTACCCCTCACCTGGTGCAGGTGGTTGGTGAGGTTAACAACGCCGAGGTGCGGTGCATGGTAGATCACTTGGGCTATCTGCTCAATGACACCTGTCTGCCCATGGATGATGGCCAGGTGCAGCGGCCTGGGGGTGGGGAGGAGACCATGGCCAAACAAGCCCTGTCACTCAGTGTCCTCCACCCTCCGGAATCTCCTTTGAAGGGGACTCTCCAACCCCTGGGCAGTCTCCAAGGACATCGCTGTACCTGAACTTAACCCTTCCAGGCACTTTTTAAAATAGATGAATATTAGTACCGTGTTCTTTCAGAGTGGACGAAATTGAAGTTGAGAGAGATAAAGTACCTTGACCAGAACTAGTAAATAGCAAGGGAGGACTTAAAACCTGGTCTGCCCAACTCCGGAGACACAGCGCTCCAGGAACCTCCCTAACCATCCGGCGCCTCCTTCCGCTCCCCCAGCCCATAGCGCAGGGGGGGGGGAGCGGAGGGGGGGAACGTCCCAGCCCGCCCTCCTGCCGGCCTACGTGTCTCCGTTCTCGTCCTGCGCTGTCAGCAGGTGGCGCTGTCCCGCCAGTAGCGAGCGCGCGTCCGCCGTGACGCCGTAGTCCAGCAAGGCACGGGCGCTACGCTGCGCCAGGCCGAACAGCCGCGCGTTGTACTCGCGAGCTGGGGGCGACAAAGGGGCGTGGGCGCAGGCCTTGCGAGTCAGGCAGGTTCCCCTCCCCCATCGTCCCGACCACCCGGATTCCGGAGGCCGTACCTCGCGCCAGCATGTCTGGGGTCGGCGGCTCGCTCTGGGGCGCGCTCGGCTCTGTTGCTTTCTCCCCAACATCAGTGCCAGGCGCCGAGGCCGCCATCTGCGCCCCGCCCCCGCCTCCCGGGTAGCAGCCCATTGGGGCTGCGCCGGACTGGTAGGGGCTGTAGGCCAAGGAGGAGGGGAAAAAGCCGAGGCTGCCACCTGTGGGTACAGGCAGAGCTGAGGGGACGGGGCACCAGCCGGAGCTCCCAGGCATCTCCCCGCAGCTCCTCTCTTCACCTCCTCCATCCCCCTTGCCACCACCAGCACTCCCTCACCTCCTCCTCCAGCTCCTCCAAAACCCCCAGCAGAGCCTCCACCCATATGGGAGCCACCCCCGAAGGGCTGGGAAAAGGTGGGCAAGGCCTTCCTCCGTTTGCGCTGCACCTCCTCCTTGTCTGGGGACAGAAGGAAACGGAATGTTATAACTCCAACTCACAGGCCCATCTCCTGATCCCTTCTCCAATCTCGGTAAGGGCTCTTCCTCAAAAAGCCCTCAGCTAGAGCGCTCAGGCTGAACCCTCCCCATCCTTGACTTGGCTGGTGGGTCCCTTGGTCTAGTTTTTGGAACCCCCAGCCCAGCCCTCAGTCCCATTAGCCCCCTGGCATCTACAGCCCAGCTCTACCTTCCACTAGTGGATAATAGGTGAACTGTTTGGAGTCAGACACATCCCCCCCACGCTTGCGTTTCAGTTGCAGGAACACGGTGACAGGACGCTCAATCTTCATCTTGTGATAAGGAGGTGTCCGGAACACAATGGCGTACTGGGGAAGGGTCATACAGGGTGTCAGTGAGGCCTTGGCTTACTTCGGCCCCACCCCTTGAGCCTAGCCTCTGGATACCTGTTTATGGACATCTGTGGGTGAGAAGTCCCCAAAGGCCTGCCATCCGTTTTCATCATCCTCGTAGAAACGAACCTCAATGTCATCTAAAGGGAAAACGAGGCTGGTCACAGCTCCAGGTGAAATCTCCTGGATCTACCTGCCTGCCCAGCCTGGCCTCCGATCTTGACGCTCAGTGTCCCCAGCGCCTAGCTTGGGGCTCCCGCCTCACCTTTCTGCACTTTGTCACAAAGCAGATAAACCTCATCTCCACCCCGCACGGAGCCAGCTGTCTTGTCCATTCTTGAAATCTTCAGATTCGAGGCCCCGGGAGACTCTAGGGGACAGAGTATCGATTGGTTGAGATGACAGCATAGCCATGGCCCCATTTATGGAGTCAGGTATTTTGTTTTCATTAACCGAACAGCCCAAGAGATGCAGGAACCACATAGTCTCATTTATCAAAGACAGAAGTGATACTCAGGAGAGAAATAACTTGTTCAACCTCACAGTGCATATATGTCAGAGCCGGAATGAAACCCAGGCTTTTCTGCCTCCACAGCTGGAGGGTGCCCCCGTGCTCCCTTGGTCACCCAGGCCTGGCCCCACAGGCAGTCAGGATACACTCACTGCTGTCGTGGATGGGGTGGGAGATAACTGGCTTCAGGGGTAAGGAGAAGGAGCCATCGCTGGCTCGAAGGAAGGCAGAGAAGCGCAGCCGCACGATGCTCAGATCCATCACCTTCTTCAACTCTTTGGCCTCCTGCTCTAGCTCCCGCCGCTCAGCATCTGCGGAATGGGCACATGTGTGACACTGGGCTCCTCCTCTCTCCCTGCTCCCCCACAACTACCTCCCATTACTCCCCCGCGCCAACCCCTTACCAGTAAGGCCCTGGGGCCTGGACCGGAGTCGCTGCCTCTGAAGTTTCTGTGTCATAATCTCCATCATGTTCTTCTTGGTCACATGCAAGACTCCCAGGTTATTAAATCTGGAGGTGGGAGAGGAGTCAGGGCCTTTGCCCATGCAGTTCTTTCCTCCTGAAGCACCCTCCCCACTGCTAGGGCTCAGCTTGGCTCAGCTGTACTTCCTCAAGGAAGCTTTCCTTTTTCCTTGAGGCCTTGTGATCTGAGGCCAACCTAAGTTTCTCCTCTTGGTCAGATACTAAGCTCCCAGAGGTGGTCTGGGGCCCAGAACTGGCAGGCAGTGAGGGGGCACACCAGTGGGGGCCAGGGGTAAGGGGCACCTACTGGGCAGTCATGTCCTTGGGCCCCACAGACACAGTGCAGACCCCCAGCTCCGAGCATTGCTTGCCCACCAGGCTGTGGGCGTGAGCGCGAGGTGGGTCACTGTGTGTTACCAGGTCCACTTCGATCTTGGCTGGTCCCTCGTAGTTACAGATCTGGGAAGGGCCAGGGCTGTCAGTGATGCTCCTGGACATGTCCACTAACCCACCCTCCAGCACCACCCTGGCTCACCTTGACAGTAGGATAGGTCTTCCGGCCTTTCTCACTGGAGGCACCTGGCAGTCCTCCATGGGAGGGTCCTTCACAGCCGTAGCGAAATCGGAAGCCTCGCTGAAGGTCCAGGGGCAGAGTGACGTTGTGATCAGGAGAAACCACACCAGGCAGCCACACCCCTGGCCAGCAGTGACCACGATGACCACCACCATCTGCCCTGAACTACAACCATACCACCGCGACCAGCAGCAGTCAACCATGTTAGCCTGCAGTGGCCTCTCTGGGCAGTGACCTCACATGATCACCCAGCTACAGCCACCCACTGTCCCCTAAAGCTGAAGCCATTCCTCACCACACCTTCTGCTCACTCACCTGCTTAGGCTGCTCCACGATCACCAGGTAGGGGCCATCAGCTGGGGACAGAGGGCCTTGTTGAGCCAGGCTCCATGAGCCCTTCCCCCAGACAGAGAGCACATGGCCCTCCTCCCTGCTCCCTCTCCAACAAGGGGATGTTAGGGGGCTTGCTAACCTGTGTCTGGGGCTGGCTCCTTGGGCTCCACAATGGAGGGGTTGAATTTGAAATCATCATATTCAATGAAGCCATCCAGAGCCTGCTTTGGAGACAGATTAGGGGTGGGGGGGTGCAGCCGATTCTGAGCCACTCTCAGAGCCCTCTAAACCCTCCTGGCTCTAAACCCTCAGTAACCACTCCCTCTCCTCCCCAGGCCCATGAGAAAGCTCCTTTAGAAGCAGAGTTTGCATACAGGCAGCGGATGGCCTGGAACGGGCCTTAGGATAGACACTTTGAGATCTGGGAGCAGGACAGATGGAGGAGGCAGCAGATAGGCTGAGACCAGCGGAGAGGCGTGCAGGTGTGGGGGAGAGAGGAGGCTCCCGCAACATGCAAGCAGACAGGGAGAGGGAGGTAGCCTGGCGGCGTCAGGGCCAAGCGGCGTGACTCACTGGGTTGTAGCAACTGTCCATGTCTCTGGGCTGGGCCCAGATCTGTCTATGGCTCCAGCCGGGGTCTACTTCCCAGAGTTTCAGGTGCTCGCCTTGGGGCAAGGCGGACGGCGGGGAGAGAGGGATCAGGACCGGAGTGGGCGGGAGAGGGGGGCCCCAGGTTTGGGGGAGGGTTCGATCTCCTCCAGCCGCCCGTCCGAGTGTGGCGGGCGAGATCCGGTGGAAGGCGAGATCCGGAGCTGGGCTGGGCCGGGCCGGGGAAGGGACAGGAAAGTTAGAGCAGCTTAGGAAAGTCCCGAAAATACCAGGGGGAGGCGGGGCAGGAGGGGGCGGGCCTGGAAATGACGCAACCTGCCCCGCCCCCTAGGCGGGTGGGGCGCTAGGCCCGGGCTTGCTGGTGGGCCCCGCGGCCTCTCCCTGGACAGGCTGCGGGCAACCAGAGCCAGGGAAACCCTCCAGGGCAAGTGCCTGCCGGGGACAGGAGGGTCTTTCACAGCCGGGGAGAGCTCCCAGTCCAGTGCCAGGCCCGCCTCCCGTACTCCTCCCCTCCCCGGCCTGGAGCAACCTTGGGATTTTCTGCCAGGAGGGAGGCCACGGCTGATTCACCCCGGGGGCTTTTGGGGGGACATTCCTGCTGCAGGGAGGCCTCCTCTCTGACTACTATGTAGGCGGGGTTCTTCCCGGCGGGGGGCCCCGGGGTTCTGCCCCGAGAACGGAACTCTGGGGACCGCGGTGGGAGGTGTCTCTTCCTTGGAACAGGTTCCTCTTCCCTCTCCCCGAAACAGCTCCACAGCTGTTGATTCCCACACTGCACCGGCTTGGGGTGCTGAGGAGACGGGCAGACCCCTGTACGCCTCCCGCCTCAATCCCACAGCTGTATGTGTAATCCAGGTGTGTTTTCATCACAGGAATACAAGTGTGTTTCGGTCCGTGGGCCTGGATACATGTTGTGTGTGTACAGCGTTAACATGCATATGCAAGTGAACGTGCTTGTGTGCAGAAGAGCGTCCCTAGGTTTCTTCAGGTGCGTACATGTCTGAGTATGTCTTGATATGTAAGGGCACCGGTGAGCGTATCTCTGAGTTTGAGCATGAAAGGTGTAGGTCCAGGCACCCGTGGATGGGTGGGTGAGCACGTCTACATGTGCGTGAATGTGCGAGTCCGCGTGCATGGACGCTGCTTGTGTACGCCGGCATTCGTGCAGATGGATGTCCAGGTCCGCGTGTCTCCGTACAAGGATGTCGCTGTGTATCCGTGTGTCTCGTTCGTGTGCGTGCTCTGGGTGTGCGCACATCTCTAGTTCTGGGGCTCAGTCAGCTAACAGGCCCTCCTCCTGCCCTTCCTCGCGTCCCGGCCACCCAAGGTCTGAAGTCGGCCACTCACCACGGCGGCGGCTACGGTTCCGGCTCCTCTCCCGGCCCGGCTCGCCGAGGACCGGTCGCGACACCACTCCAGTTACCAGGGCTCCAATTGGGAAAGTCCCTCTTCCGCCCCCCGGAGGGGGGAATTCCCGTGACGTTTCCGTACGTCACGCCCCATACCCTTTTTCATTGGCTGAAAGTTTAACTCCTAGACTCGTGCGTCCAATCCGGAGCGACTCAGGAGCGCCCTTTAGAGGCCAAAGATTTGTGTAGGGCGGGGAGAACTGTGTGAGGAGGTCTGTCCGCCGGGCGGGGGCTCTGGCTGGGAATTAGCTCGAGGCGGGATCATTTGGCGGAGCACCGGCCCCTGTCCCAACCCCGGCGGAGGGGCAGGCCTCAATCTCCTTGCTCTCCTAGGCCTGCCCCGGCTTCTGCTGCGCCTAATACTTGACCACATCTGAAGCTGGGGAACCCCAGGGGGAAGCCGCCGGCCTCAGCTCTCCGATCTCCCGCCTAGGGCTGGGCCCCGCTTCCGGAAAGAGTTAAAGAGGAAAGAAGTTGATCTAGCGGTCGGTACCGGGACGCCCTCTGGCGGCCTCTCTGGCCACCGGAGCCACAAGGAGACTCAGTAATCTCTCTCCTCCTTTCTTGCTCCATCTCTTACTCAGCCTCCGGCCCTCATGGCCCTTGGAAGAGACAAACTAGACCTAAAACTTATCCAAGTTCACCTGGGCAGGGCTTTTAGGCTGACCTGAGCTCCGGAGCTCTGCGTGCGGGAAGAGTAATGGGTATTTATCTGGGAGGCTCTGGCCTCGCCCCTCCATCACGATCTGGAGTATCAGGATTGGTCCAAAGTCTAAACAGTTTGAACTTCCGATGTAGAAAATCACCTCTTAGATAGTTCTCATTCTGCTTGAACACATAGTGGCAGCGGGGTCAGTACAGTATTTCACAAAGCTGTGCCTCGTAGCTGGACGTCTCTTGTCGGTAGAGGCCGTCTTTTGGAGGTGCCCTTAGTAATCTCCCTTCCTGGAGTCATCCTTCCTGGGCTCGCTGTAGAACACCAGCTGTTTCAGGTCTCTCCTGCAACTTGCTGCTGACCTTAAAAATGGAATTGAAAGCCTGCGCTAGCACAAAAAAAAAAAAAAAAAAAAAAAAAAAAAAAAAAAAGCCAAACTCACTGCCATCAAGTCGATTCTGACTCAGAGTGACCTCCATTGGGTTTCCAGGGCAGTAAATCTTCATGGAAGTAGATTGCCTCATTTTTCTTCCGCAGAGCACAACCACCAGACCACTAGCCTTCTGCTTAGCAGTCAAATGCCTTAGGCACTGTGCCACTAGAGCTCCTTCAACACTGATAAAGGGAAGACCCATATGGCCTTTCATGTGGGCCAATTCCTGTTACTTCCCTCTCTCTTCATTTTGCCCACAAATGGAATGTGCCAGGTACTGTGTTAAGATACTTTAGTGCAAGTTCTTAAGCTCCTTCTCAAGAACCCTAAAACCAAAACCCACTGCCTCATCTTCCTCCCATGAAGCAGGTGGTGGTTTGCACCACCACCCTTTGGTTAGCAACCAAATGCCTTACCTACTATGCCACCAGAGCTCCTTTCAACAACCCTGTTGTTGTTGTTATGTGCCATTGAGTCAAACCCGATTCATAGCAACCCCTCCTTGGGTTTCCGAGGCGGTATCACTACGGAAGTAGATTGCCCAACCTGCCTTCCTAGGAGTGGCTACTGGGTTTGAACTGCCAGGCTTCTGGTTAGCAGTCAAGTGCCTTGGGCACTACGCTACCAGAGCTCCTAGGAGGTAAATATTATCTTTACTTTCCTAATGAAGACAGGAAGGTTCAGAGAGGTGAAGTAACACAACCAACACAAGTAGAAAAGTACAGAACTAAGATTCAAACCTGGTTTATTGACTCCAGGCCAAAATTATTTCCCCTAAATTTATATAAAACAAAGCAGTCTTTTTCAGCCTTCTGTGGGGCTCTCAAGCAAATATCATAAGATACTGTCAAAAAATTTGCTGAAATTCAGTTACATTGTCTACCACATTCTCCAGGAAAATCATATTTTTAACCCTTAAACTAAAATGAAATGAGGTTAGTTTGGTGTACTCCAACTTGCAGAACCTGGACTGGCTGCCATGTTCACAGCCGTCTTTTTCAGTGTGCTCATAAACTCCCTGCTCAAACTGGCATGGGTCCTTCCAAATCCACATCTTTAAAAGCACCCCTAGGGTTTGGGCCATTTTAGTCACATGATTTTGAGCTATAATTTATCTGGAGACTTAAAAAAATAACTTTATTATAGAAATTTTCAAATATATAAAAAGTGCAGAGACTAGGATAATGAACCCCCATGTATCCATTAGCAGCTCCAACAATTCTCAACTTATGTGGCCCTAGAGAAGAGATTTTAACTAACTCCTAGCAGTTTATTGCCTGTTGCTATAGCCTCACCTATTTGGACTTAAGAAACCTCTTCATGTTGTTTTTTCCACTAATTTTTAACATAATAATCATCTCTATCTTTGTACCCAGCTCTAGCACCAGAGCAGATGCACCTAAGTTTATGGCATTCGTTCACCAACAAATAAGGGCCCATCCTGCAAAACAATGTTCCTGCTTTCAGAGAACCTGCATTCTAGCAGGGAAGATAGGTAATAGTCAAATACAGGTATGCATCGCTTAACGTCCATGATACGTTCTGTGACATAGGACGTTATATAATTTGGCTGTTGTGTGAACAGCTGCTTCCATGGGGCGCGGGGCTCCTGGGTGCTCACTTGGCCTGGGGGCTGCTGTGTAACACGTGGCCTAGGTGAGCATCCGCTGAGTCCCATCCTGGCTGTTGCCTCCTTCTCTGCTAAGCCAACTGAAGGGAACGTCAGCGTGCCAGGGAGGGGACAGTGCCTGAAAGCACTCAAGCCTAGGCTGGGGCACCCAGGACACCTGCTTTTCCATTGGTGCCCTACAAGACCACACTGGGCAAAACGTGGAGACTAGACTCGCTGAGTTACAGGAGCCAAGGGGTCTGGGGTTGGGAGTTTGGGCCTGAGCCTCCATCGCCACAGACTAGGTGGCCTCCAGGCTGCACACGGCAGCCTGGCAGAAGTGGGGCTTGGACCTCAAGAGGAGGACCTGTGTCCTGGCACTCAGAGACCTGGGTGCCCTGACTCAAGGACCATGTATGTAGTCAGACACTGCTCAAATGGATATTAAGTGCTCACCTAGGCCACAGCTACAGGTATGTAGATGTATGTCAGTTGGTGCTAAGTACCATGGAGAAAAATAAAGCAGGTAAGGGGATACTCACTGCCGTTGAGTCGGATCTGACTCATAGCAACCCCTTCTTGGGTTTCCGAGGCGGTATCACTATGGAAGTAGATTGCCCAACCTTCCTTCCGAGGAGTGGCTGGTGGGATTTTCTCCACAGCATCCAGGGAAAGACTCTCTGACGCAAAGTAACATTTTTACAGTGACTTGAAACAAGTGAAGGAGGGAGCCACGTGGCTCTCGGGGAAGAATGAGTGTTCTAGGTGATGAGCCAGCAAGTGCAAAGGTCTAACAGAAATGTTTGGCTTATTTGAAGATCAGTAAGGAGGTCAGGTAGGTGGAATGAAGAGAGAATGTTCGTTTTTGTTCTGAATGAG